TCAGTGGTAGAGCCCCTGCCTAGAATCCCCCAGTGAGGGGCTGGGGTGTGGCTCAGTGGTAGAGCACCTGCCTAGAATCCCCCCAGTGAGGGGCTGGGGTGTGGCTCAGTGGTAGAGCACCTGCCTAGAATCCCCCAGTGAGGGGCTGGGGTGGCTCAGTGGTAGAGCACCTGCCTAGAATCCCCCAGTGAGGGGCTGGGGTGTGGCTCAGTGGTAGAGCCCCTGCCTAGAATCTCCCAGTAGGAAACAGCCCCAGGCAGAGGTGACTTGAAAGAGATGGCTTGGGGTCTGCTGGGTACTCAGGTGGGACAAAGTGGCTTGCCCTTTTAGGATTCCCCATTCTATCTGTATGGGTCATTCAGATGTGTGCTCATAGTCCTTGTCATGACCTGGTCATAACCTACATTGCCCTACACCTATGCTGGGTGCTAAGGGGAGCGGTGGGTGCTCTGTGGGTGCTGAGGGCAGGGGCCCCTCATTTCACAGGCTGAAAGCTGAGGTTGGAGATGTTGCTGGCTTCCCAGCTGGTGGAAGAGCTAGGTTCTGGACGAGGTGAGATGTGAAGGCAAGTCCAGCTGGCCTCGTGATCTCTTCGAAGACACTGCACTGGGCATGGAGGGGACTTGGGGGTCCCCAGGACTCCTTCAGGTCTCCTCATCAGGCAGACACTAGAGGAAGTGGGGCACCAGGGCTGAGAATATGGCTCAGCCAGGTGCAGAGAGGCAGGGGGACAAGCTGGCCCTGTGTTCTCAGTATACCAAAGTTAGGAGGGCCCTAGCCGGCAGAGGGACACACAGGGCACTGTGGCTATTAGCTTTGTCACAGAGGACAGGGGGCACCTACTTTCTGAGACACTGCCATACTCTGCTTTGTCCCGCCCTTAGAATGGCACCTCAGTGGTCAGCCTGGGTTCTCCAGCAGTTCCTCCCTGCTGCTTAGACCAGAGTGCCACAGGTGCTGTGGTACCTGCTGCCCTGCATCCCAGAGCCTGCAGACTGCTCATGGCCACTTCAGAGTCCAGCCCCTCTGTCCATGTCATCTGTTGGGTCTGGGTAGGAGGGCTAGGGTGAGCCTAAGACCTGTCTTTTGCCCCCCTCCTCTTTCCATTCTTTCTTATTTTTAAATATGTGTATTTGTGTCTGTGAGTGGGTTTGTGCAGGTGAGCACATGTGCTTTCAGAGGCCAGAGATGTCTGATCCCCTTGGAGCTGGAGTTATAAGCAGCTGTGAGCTGCCCAACATGGGTGCTGGGAATTGAACCTGGGTCCTTTACAAGAGCAGTATGTGCTCTCAACCATTGAGCCATCTCTCCATCCCGTCCTCTGGGCTGGCCCTGAACTCATTATGACCTTAAACTCCTGACCCTCCTGCCTCTACCTCCTGAGTGCTGGGATTGCAGGTGTGCACCACCATGCCCAGCGTGTGCAGTGATGGGGATTACAGGTGTGCACCAGCATGCCCAGCGTGTGCAGTGATGGGATTACAGGTGTGCACCACCATGCTCAGTGTGTGCAGTGTTGGGATTACAGGTGTGCACCACCATGCCCAGCGTGTGCAGTGATGGGGATTACAGGTGTGCACCAGCATGCCCAGTGTGTGCAGTGTTGGGATTACAGGTGTGCACAACCATGCCCAGTGTGTGCAGTGCTGGGATTACAGGTGTGCACCAGCATGCCCAGTGTGTACAGTGCTGGGATTACAGGTGTGCACCACCATGCCCAGCATGTGCAGTGATGGGGATTACAGGTACGCACCACCATGCCCAGCGTGTGCAGTGCTGGAATTACAGGTGTGCACCACCATGCCCAGCGTGTGCAGTGATGGGGATTACAGGTGTGCACCAGCATGCCCAGCGTGTGCAGTGATGGGATTACAGGTGTGCACCACCATGCTCAGTGTGTGCAGTGTTGGGATTACAGGTGTGCACCACCATGCCCAGCGTGTGCAGTGATGGGGATTACAGGTGTGCACCAGCATGCCCAGTGTGTGCAGTGTTGGGATTACAGGTGTGCACAACCATGCCCAGTGTGTGCAGTGCTGGGATTACAGGTGTGCACCAGCATGCCCAGTGTGTACAGTGCTGGGATTACAGGTGTGCACCACCATGCCCAGCATGCGCAGTGATGGGGATTACAGGTGTGCACCAGCATGCCCAGCGTGTGCAGTGATGGGGATTACAGGTGTGCACCAGCATGCCCAGCATGTGCAGTGATGGGATTACAGGTGTTTACCACCATGCCCAGTGTGTGCAGTGTTGGGATTACAGGTGTGCACCACCATGCCCAGCGTGTGCAGTGCTGGGATTACAGGTGTGCACCACCATGCCCAGCGTGTGCAGTGCTGGGATTACAGGTGTGCACCACCATGCCCAGCATGTGCAGTGATGGGATTACAGGTGTTTATCACCATGCCCAGTGTGTGCAGTGTTGGGATTACAGATGTGCACCACCATGCCCAGCATGTGCAGTGCTGGGATTGCAGGTGTGCACCAGCATGTCCAGTGTGTGCAGTGATGGGGATTACAGGTGTGCACCACCATGCCCAGTGTGTGCAGTGCTGGGATTACAGGTGTGCACCACCATGCCCAGTGTGCACAGTGATGGGGATGGAATCCACAGTCCTGTGAGTGCTTGGTAAGCTTTCTATCAACTGAGCCCCAGCAGTGTTGGGGACCCTGCAGCCACTCACTCCTTATTTCCACCCTAGATCTGTGCCCTGTCCAAGTAGCATACAGTGAGCTATGCCCCTCCCTCCAGCAGCCCTTCCCTGCTCCAGATACCCTGGCTCACCGCTGCCAGCTGGTGTCCCCCTGCCCTAGCCAGGCTACCCTTCTCTTGGCCTGGGACCTGTTAGCGTCTAGCTATGCCAGCTGTCCTCTTCTGGTCAGCTTAGATGCCTTCACCCACCCTGAGTTACCGTGTAGGACTGTGATCCCTGCCCTGTCAGGAAACTGGCCTTTTTCACCCAAGGGGCCAGCATGAGCGAGGCTCACTGGGCAGGAGGTCCTGACAGGCTGATGTCTCTCTATTCACTAGATCTGAGTGAGGGGCTGCTGGGATGCCCCCTGCTGGACCACCTCCGAAGCTGTGCAGAGGCTTTCTTCCTGGGCCTTCGTGTCAAGTGCCTGCCCTCAGTGGCCGCTGCCTCCATACACTGCTCCTCAAGACCCAGTCAGGACACTGATGGGCTCCAGCTTCATACAGGTGAGCGAGGCAAGGTCGGGGGACAGCCTGGGGCTCCACTGTGCAGCAAGAGATACTTCTGGGGGTTGGGGATTTAGTTCAGTGGTAGAGCGCTTGCCTAGCAAGCACAAGGCCCTGGGTTCTGTCCTCAGCTCCAGAAAAAAAAGGAAGAAAAAAAAAAAAGAAAAAAAAAAGATACTTCTGGAAAGAAAAGTGAGAAGGAAGGAGCCCTGCAAAGGGAGGGAATGTTTTTGATGTGGTGTGTGTGTGTGTGTGTGTGTGTGTGTGTGTGTGTGTGTGTGTGTGTGTGTGTGTAAACCAGAGAACAACCTTAGATATCATTCCTCAGGAGCTGTACACTTTGTTTTCTTAATTTTTTTAAGATTTATTTTTATCTTTGTGTGCGTTGGTCTTTTGCCTGCATGTTTGTCTGTGTGAGGGTGCCTGATCCCTTGGACCTGAAGTTACAGACAGTTGCCATGTGGGTGCCGGGAATCAAACCCTGGTCCTCTGGAAGAGGAGCCAGTGCTCTTAACTGCTGAGCCGTCTCTCCAGCCCCGTCTCTCCAAGTCGGCCAGGCTGACTAACCAGTGATCGCCAGGCGTCCTCTTATCTCTGCCTCCCTGGTGCTGGGATTCCAGTCACAAGCAACCACTCCCGACTTAGATATACTTAAGACTTTTAAAGCCTTATTTACTTTCTCTTATGTGCATGAGTGTTTGCCTGCACGTATGTCTACACACCACATTCATGTCTGGTACCTGCCAAGGTCAGAAGGTCAGAAGAGGGCGTTAGATCCCCTGGAACTGGACTTATAGATGGTTATGAGTTACTGGTGGGACTGAACCCAGGTCCTCTGCAAAAAGCAGCCAGTGCTTTCAAAGCCTGAGCCATCTCTCCATCTCCTCTTCTGGCTTTAAAAATAATCATTATTCTTATATAAGTGTATACATGTATGCTTGTGTGAGTTTATGTAGATCCCATGCATGCCAGAGGCTTGAAGGCAACATATCCCATGGAACTGGAGTTACAGGAGGCTGGGAGACTCCATGAGGGTTCTGGGACTGAGGCAATTCTTCCACTCTTATCCGTTTTTGTGGATTTTAAAGACAGGAGCTCAGTAGCCCAGGCTGGCTTTCACCTTGTGATCCTCCTGCCTCAGCTTCTTGAGTGCTGAGATTAAAGGTACACACCGCAGTGCCCAGAGACTTACTAGTTTTGATTAATAGTGGGATGATATTAGTGAAATTATTAAGGCCACTCCATGTAGTTAAAAGGGAGGTTTATTTTGTGGGGTAACTTACAAGTGAAGGGATAGTTTACAGAGTCTGGGAAAGGCGTAGTGCAGTCCGGAGGTGTTCTCTGCTCGGTCTACCTGCAGCGTCCAGGGTCCAGGAACCAAGAGAGCCGGCACATCTGGATCTCGGGTCTTCAGGGTCCTCTCTTGGCCCCGCCTTGTAGGCGTGACAGTTACCGAAGCCTCAATGGGGGTTGGAACTTCCAGATCAAAGCTGGAATGGCTACCCACTATAGGATGCTTTTTTTGAAAAGCATTTCCTGGGAGAATCTATGTCCTGGGATAGTTTTCCTTCAGAGGGATTTTCTCTTCCCCATGTCTGGCCATGTATGTCAAAGGCATGATTCTTTTCTGGGCTGTTCTGTGACCCTTGGGGACAGTCTGCATCCTGTGTTGGGTGTGGAATTCAATGGCAGCAGACAGAGTAGGGAGTTATCTCTAGGGTCTGTTTCCTGCCTAAGAGCAGCCCAGATTCATCGCACTGTGGGCCGGGCTTCTCCTGGCCCTGCTTTCTTAGCTGGTGTCTGGCTCAGGAAAAGTTCATTGAGGTCAGTGAAGGGAGTAGTGCAGGCTAAGGCAGGAGGATTTAAGGTTTTAGACTTGCCTGGGCTACAGAATGAGTTGACACCAGCTTAAGCTACATACTAACAACCTGTTTTAAAAAGTAAAAAGAGGGTTGGGATGTGGCTCAGTGGTAGAGCACCTGCCTAGGATCCCCCAGTGAGGGGCTGGGGTGTGATTCAGTGGTAGAGCACCTGCCTAAAATCCCCCAGTGAGGGGCTGGGGTGTGGCTCAGTGGTAGAGCACCTGTCTAGAATCCCCCAGTGAGGGGCTGGGGTGTGACTCAGTGGTAGAGCACCTGCCTAGAATCCCCCAGTGAGGGCTGGGGTGTGGCTCAGTGGTAGAGCCCCTGCCTAGAATCCCCCAGTGAGGGGCTGGGGTGTGGCTCAGTGGTAGAGC